TATATATATAGAGAGAGAGAGACAGAGACAGAGAGACAGCGACAAAGACATAGACAGGGAGAGGAGGAAAGTGGGAGGTAAGACGGGATCATACGAACAATGTGAGGTAGATACATAGAGGTTGAAATGGATTGAAGTCAGTGTAATAGATAGATAGATAGATAGATAGATAGATAGAAACATCAGATAGATAGATAGAAACATCAGATAGATAGATAAATAGATGAAAATGAACAGATAGATAGATAGATAGATAGATAGATAGATAGATAGATAGATAGATAAAAAAATCATCAGATAGATAGATAAAAAGATAAAAATGAACAGATAGATAAATAGATAGATAGATAGATAGATAGATAGATAAAAAAATCATCAGATAGATAGATAAATAGATAAAAATGAACAGATAGATAGATAGATAGATAGATAGATAGATAGATAGATAGATCTGAACAGAGAGAGGACAGATGGGGAGATATTTGTTCATGACATTATTATATCAAATTATCCATTCGTAACCGAACGCATTCTTTTCTCGTTCTTCTTAAACATTTCGAAAAGACCAGCTATTTACAGTGTCATCGTTAGAGCTATAAACTAGAAAAACTCGTTTCTATGCAAACGGGAAATTTAAATTACGACTTCGTCCTAAAAATACCAACTTTCTCACAACCTTCTCGTCATAGCAGCAGGACATAGTCACTCATTTTTAAATACATTAATACTCATATATTAGCACCTATCAGGCCAGACATAATATTACACGCAAGAGTTCCCTTGCTAACTCTCCTGCACAAGTTGCTATATGGCATTATTATCTAGCAGAAGTGTACTGAATCGTAAAATATGTACAAAAAAAGTAATTTTTTCAACTACTGAAAATATGACTCGCATGACTTGCAGACATCATGTTCTATTGGCATGTTGAATTTGGAGATGTAACGAATAGAATCTTCTAAATAGAGGTCTAGTGATGTGATTTCCAATAGAGAAAACGTCAGCATAGAACTCTGGACAGACCATGTGACTGATTTATTCTCTAGCAAACAACGTTTTAGCTAAACCGATAAAAGAGACGTTACTGTTCATAATCCAATTCACCATTTCTTGCTACACGAGGTCTTT